ATTTTGATGTCTTTTTTTGTGTGTTGTTGATAGTTTCTTTATTCCACTTAATTTTCTGTGCTGAGTTGTTTTTCTTTATGTATTTTCTTTTCATCTTTTTCATTGTTGTTGATTTTGTATTTGCTGAGTCTTTGTTTTTCATTTTGATATGTAGGATTGTTAATTTCCTTTGTGGTTACCTTAATATTTACCCCTACTTTCCTAAGTTTAAACCAATCTTTTATTTCTGTATATTGCCTTGACTTCCTCTCCATTTGAAAGATCTATGATTACGTATTTAGTCTCTCTTTTTTGTTTTAATATTGTCATCTTTTACATATTGATGTCTCTGTTTCCCTATTTTCCATGTTTTAGCTTTGATTTATTTTTGTGACTTCCCTATCTGGGTTGATATCTGGTTGCTCTGTGCCGTGTTCTAGTCTTGGGTTGTTATCTGGTATTATTGTTTTTCTAACGGGAGGACTCCCTTTAGTATTTCAGGTAATTTTAGTTTGATTTTTGCGAATCCTCTCAACTTCTGTTTATCTGGAAATGCCCTAATTTTGCCATCATATTTAAGAGACAGTTTTGCAGGATATATAATTCTTGGCTGGCAATTTTTTTCCTTCAAGGCCTTATATATGTCATCTCCTTGCCTCCTTGCATGCATGATTTCTGCTGAGTAGTCCGAGCTTAGTCTTATTGACTCTCTTTGTAGATGACTTTTTGTTCATCCCGAGCTGCTCTTAAAATTCTCTCTTTATCTTTGGTGTTGGCAAGTTTGATTATAATATGTCTTGGTGACTTTCTTTTGGGATCTACCCTGTGTGGGGTTCGATGAGCATCTTGGATAGATATCTTCTCATCTTTCATGATATCAGGGAAGTTTTCCGCCAACAAATCTTCAGCAATTCTCTCTGTATTTTCTGTTACCCCCCCCGTTCTGGTACTCTAATCACTCGTAGGTTATTTCTCTTGATAGAATCACACATAATTCTTAGGCTATCTTCATTTTTTTAAATCCTTTTATCTGATTTTTCCTCAAATAAGTTGGTGTCAAGTGCTTTATCTTCAATCTCACTAATTCTTACTTGCATTGCCTCAATTCTGCTCCTGTCCTTTCTACTGAATTGTCTAATTCTGAAATTTTATTGTTAATCCTCTGGATTTCTGTTTGTTGTCTCTCTATTGATTCTTGCAGCATGTGAAATTTGTCATTATGCTCGTCTGTAATCTTCTTAAGTTCTTCTGTTGCTTTGTGTGTGTGTTCCTTGGCTTGTTCTGCATTTTGCCTGATCTCCTAAAGAGTTCTGTATATTACTCTTTTGTATTCTACCTCCAGTAATTCCAAGAAATTCTCTTCCTCTGGAAAGTTTATTGATTCTTTGTTTTGGGAGCTTGCTGAAGCCCTCATGTTCTGTCTCTTTATGTGATTTCATACTGACTGTTGTCTCCGAGCCATCAATAAGTTATTATATTTATTTATGTTTGCTTACTGTGTCCTAGCTTCTTGTTTTGTTTTGTTTCGATATGCCCAGATACGCTGCTTTTGGGAGCTAGTTTGATTACTGGCACGTTTGAAGCGTTGATGTCCTTTGAACAGATGGTTAGATCTGTTACTAGGTATGTGAGCCCAGGAGCCTGTTTACTTTTCTCATATGGATTCAGCTCAGGTGTCCAGGTAGTCCATCACCAAGTGTGTGGGGCGGGCTCTAACCTACAGTCTTAGACAGGCATAGGCGATTAGTGTAGGCACGAGTATCTGGCTGCAGTAGGGGATCATGCACTGAGCAAGGCAGGGGCCCAAAGGCTGCCCAAGTGTCTGGGAGGAAAGCATGTCCCTGTTCGCTAGAACACGTAGGTGGGTGGGTTTTTCAGCTGGACTATGGGCATCCAGTGCTGTTGGCTGTAAGGACTGGGAGGCACCACTTATTATTGGACCCCTGTTGTGGGTGGCTAGGTGGTATGGGTGGAGCCACTGGTCCTCAGGCCCCTGATGTGGGTGAGGACCCTGCTTAATCTGCAGAGCAATGTCAAATGTCACAAACCTGCCACTCACCATATAGCTGATACAGCTGAAGTTAGGCCTCAGGTATATACCCTGTTGTACTGTGCTAATGAGGGCCTATGCTGTTGAAATGGGCCCACATGGGTCAATGCAGAGGTGAAAGGCATTCAAAGTCCATGGACCCCTTGTTCCTGTGCCTAGGCAAAGGAACTGTGCCTACCCTGAGTTCCCGGCTTAGAGGAGCTGGCAGATTATTTTTTCCTGTTTATTAATTTGTTCCCTATCCAAGGCTGAGAGAATGGCTCAGGGCTTGTGATGGGTCCTAGTTCTGGCCCAGGGGACTCAGCAATTGCCGAAATCGGCCTGGGACCTGGTGCAGAGTAGAGGGGCAGGGCGGGTAAATGGGGGAGAGATTTTTCCGAAGGGGGTGTTTTTTGATCCACACAGTAGGTCAGACGCGTGTACTTATCTTTTTCTGATTGAGTGCGGCTTTTCACTGGTTCTGGAATCCTGAGTAGACTCTGTCTCTCAGTCTCTCCAGATGTGGAAAACACGTCCTGAGTGCCACTGCTTGCCTCACCGTGCATGCCACCTGATCCTGCCTGAAGGCTGCTGGCTCCTGCCGGGTCAGGTCTGGCAACTCCTCACTGCTTCTGAACCGTCTCTCTCTCTCTTCCTGCCACTCATTCCGATTTCTCAACTTTGTCTTTGATGTTCTGGGCTCCTAGATTGTCATATATAATCAATTCATTTGTTTTTTTGAATCTTTGTTGTAAGAGGGACCACAGGAGGTATCTGACTGCTCTGCTATTTTGGCCCCTCCTTGCATCCAAATAATTTTAATCCTTCAAGTCACCTTGAGAAACGAATTTATTTCAGCAGTGCTGCCATTGCTAAAAATGTCTTTGAATTTTTTTTGGAACTTCTTTTGGAGCCAGCTTATAAGGCTTAGAAAGAAGACTAGTCTTATTATTAGTCAGTCACTCCTCACTTTTGACCAAAAATGTTTTATTCAATTTGATTACATACCTCATTCAACTGAAAAAGCTCGGAGTGACTTTTGGCTGTTCTCAAAAAAAAAAAAACTTAACTTCAAAGGGTGAAGATGTGCTACCGTTGAGGACATGCAATAATGTGCCACAGGTTCTGAAGAAAATTCCCAAAGAGGAGTTTCAAAAGTTCTTTGAGCAATGGCAGTTCTTATCTGTCCTATAGGGTTGCTGTGAGTTGGAATTGACTCGATGGCAGCAGGTTTGCTTTGGTTTGGTTGAGCAATGGCAGCATCCTTGGAGTAAGGTGTAACTTGCCAAGGTGACTGGAAGGAGGCAGCCATCATTTGGATGTATAAATTCTGGTATGTCTTTTTTTAAATCAATCCCATTACATCAATCTCATTTTATTTTAGCCGTAATATAGATGGCCCATGGAAAAAGTCACTCATTTAGAAGTTCAGACATCTTGAATCTCTTTTATATTTGATTCTGTAAAGGCTATTATATTAGTACTTAATGCTTCTTCGCTGTGTTTTTCATAGGCAAGTATTAATATTATTTGATGTTCTCTCATTAGACAGCATGAAGATATAGTCTTGGTACATATTTCACCTTTGGTCAGAGTCAACCTGGGATTAAAAGTTGACCAAATAAAAAATATATATATACACATAAATAATCAAAAGTTGTCATAATAAAATTTACAATAATATTAAGTCTGAATTATCTTAGATACTCATTGTGTGTTCCCGTAATACTGTTTGACTCTATTAGTAGTTACTACATTGTATTGAAATATTCTGTTTATATCCATATGTTTGTTACTTGGAACCATGCCACGCTTCCTGCTCAAGAAATGTTCATTGAAAAGACCAGACTTACTGGCCTGACAGAGACTGGAGAAGCCCTGAGAGTATGGCCCCTGGACATCCTTTTAGCTCAGTAATGAAGTCACCCCCAAGGTTCACCGTTCAGCCAAAGATTAGAAAGCCCCATAAAACAAAACGACACTAATGATGCACAACAGTCCAGGGACAAGGACTAGAAGACAGGAGGGGACAGGAAAGCTGGTAATTGGGAACCCAGGGTTGAGAAGGGACAGTGTTGACATGTTGTAGGGTTGTTAACCATTGTCATAAAACAATATGTGTACTGTTTAATGAGAAACTGTTCTGTAAACCTTCATCTAAAGTACAATAAAAATAAATATACATTAAAAAAAAAGTTCATTGAACTAAAGTGATTTCCTCAAAATTTTGTTTCTTTCTTTTGCCCTAGAAACTCTACTGGATAAATAGTAGGTAAACTTAGACATAGTCAAGATAGTTATTATTTCTTCCAGTAAAATATTTGAGTAGGGAACTTTTATTAATTAATTAAAATGAGTTTAGGAGGAGTTATTTTTGTGTGATTTGATTATGCTGTATCTAGTGTCTGTTACCAGTAATTATTGAGACTGGGTGGTACTGTTCTTTTTCCTTTAAAGAATTACAGTTACCAAAAGGTAAAAAAAATTAAAAAGTGCAGTTCTATAAATGTTTCACTCATGTTTTCCTCTTGTGTTTTTCTCCTACTTTAGTCCACCAATTGATGACTTTGATGTATTTAAAGAATTAAAAGAACAAAATTTCTTTGAGTCACAGGAATCTATCATTTCTTTATGTACTTACCTGCAAGAATTGATGAGAACTATTGAAGAACTAGATGAAGATCAGCTGAAAAATGAGTTTTTTAAATTTCTGCAGGTAAACGTGATAATCTACTGAGTGTATTTGTTAATTTAAACAATTAAAAATAAACTGGTACAATTAACAAGGATGTATACATTACCATTTAAGTTATAATTGATCATTTTGTATCATTTTAGTGATAGTGTTCTTTAAGAGATAAAAATCCACTTAATCTATAAAAATGGGGTTTTGAAATCTATTCTGCACTGACTGGAAATGATTTTAGTGGCATGGGAGTCATCTGACGTGGCAGCCTCTGTTGTTCTTGAGAGAATACTTCATAGTGGTTTGGTATGGCCCCCGCCGGACTTGGATTTAAGTCCTGGCTCTTTTGCTTATTTGTGGTTGGTCCTGAGGCAGATTCCTTAATTTCTCTGAGCTTCAGTCTCCTCATCTGTAAAATGAAGATGATATTGCATGCCAGTGGGAGAATTAAAGTAGATCATGCATGTAAAGCATTGAGCTCAGAGCTGGGAACACAGTACCTGCTCTAATCCTCATCAGGTGATAATACTCAGGTGGTCAGTTGGCCTATTTAAAATTGCTTTATTACATTTCTTTTATCTTGAATTAAGTTTTTTATTCTCATTCAAAACCATCTAAAATTTAAAATGTGTTCTTAGAACCAGAACCATTTGAAAATCTTTATTAATACATAGCAGTATCCCCAGCACTCATTTTTTCTAGAAAAAGTTAGAAACATTTCCTGAAAAAATGTTAGAAGGTGCCCTGAAGAGAAATCAAGTAGGGAAGGAGAATCAGGACTGCTGACCATTTTGGTTAGCAGCCAAACTCTTAACCTCTGTGCCACCAGTGTTTTGTAGAAATACATTTTACGAATATTTTTAGCAACTCCTCTACCTGCTACATAATAGAATTTTTGTTGGTAGAAGTTTTGTTGGTTATTCCAAAGAAGGGTGAATGTTTTGTGCTTTTTGTTTTTCAGATTTCTCTGTGGGGAAATAAGTGCGATCTGTCTCTATCAGGTGGGGAAACTAGTTCTCAGAAGAACGATTTAATAAGTTCTCTGGAAGACCTAAAACCTTTCATTTTAGTGAATGACATGGAACGCCTTTGGTCATTGCTTAGCAAGAAAACAAGAGAAAAAGCATCTGTTAGAGTGGATATTGTTCTGGATAATTCTGGGTTTGAACTTACTACAGATTTAGTATTAGCTGACTTCTTACTGTCCTCTAAACTGGCTACTGAGATCCATTTTTATGGGAAAAGGATTCCATGGTTTGTGTCTGATACTACTATACATGATTTTAATTGGTTAATTGAACAAGTAAAACATTCTAATCATAAGTGGGTAGCCAAGTGTGGGGTTGACTGGGAAAACTGTGTTAAAATGAGCAGATTGGTTTACCATGATCATATATTTTGGACTTTGCCTCACGAGTACTGTGCAATGTCTCAGGTTGCTCCTGACTTATATGCAGAGCTACAGAAAGCAGATTTAATTTTATTCAAGGGTGATTTGAATTATAGGAAGTTGACAGGTGACAGAAAATGGGCATTTACCATTCCATTTCATCAGGCTTTGAGTGACTTCCACCCTGCTCCTCTTTGCAGCATAAGAACATTAAAAGCTGAGATTCAGGTTGGTCTACAGCCGGGCCAAGGTGAAGAGCTTGCAGCCTCGGAGCCCAGCTGGCTCACCAGTGGGAAGTATGGAATCTTCCAGTTTGATGGTCCCCTATGATTGGGTTTCTGAGCTCTCAGTTGTGTAGAAAGGTCTGATGAGCGCTTTTCATCCCCAGACAAGCAGTGTGTGAGACCTGACTGCTCCATGTTAGCTCTGGGAAGTTAGATTCTCAGGGCTTATTTCCATACACACTGGATGATTTTGTTCTTTGAACATTTTGCCCCATTCCATTGTTTTGGGGATAGATGGCTTAAGTTAGTTACAGATATTATATTTATGTTGGAATTTTAGTAACTTATTTCAAGATGAATGTACAATTCCAAGTGGTTTTGATGAACTTATTTTCAGTTGGGTAGAAAGCAAAATATGAGTGAATTCTGGTTTTAAAATTAGTTAAACCTTTTTTTTTTTTTTTTTTAAATACTATAGTGCATGGTATTTAACATTCTAGGAAGCATGGAATTTTATTTAACTTGATTTGGGGCTCCTGAAATAAGGATCCCATGAAAATATACATTTTAATGACTCTTTACAAAGAGAGGCATTTCTTACAACTGTGATGTTTGGACACATGAAAGTAAAACTTACCTCATAAGTTAATTCTAACTTTTGTTGTTCTTGACTTATTTCATTTCAAATAATAGCTTGTTTTATTTGCAAACATTTGTATTACATTTGACCTGTGGAATGGATGGTAGGAAACACAAAATTGAAGAGGATGAAGCAGATGGTATTTGGAGAAATGGATAATGTTTTACCTTTCATTTATGATACCCATGATCAGCTGAAGTACGTTCTGTTACCACATAACTGTTTTAAATGAGCAGACTTTTAGTTTGCACTACAATTGTTAAAAAATGCTTTAGATAGAAAAGATTCTTGTGCATCAAGTTTAGAGTACTACCAACAAATGAATTAATTCATTTTTTATATTTCTTACACATTTATTTGTCATCACCACAGCTATTAAAGACTATAAATTTTATGTCAGTTTATTCTGAAGCTAAAATTGGAAACAGACCTGGAAATGTTTTCTTGCACTGGAATAATAAAATGAATTGTACTGAAAATCTTGGTTTTATTTTCCAATGGGGAATGCCAAAAATGGAAGACTTAAATGAGGTCTGTATGAGTTTAAAATGAAACTTTATTAAGAAACTCATAATGTGCATTATAGACATTGCCAAAAGCAGTTTTTAATAATGCCACTTACAAATGAGTTTATAGTCTGCATCCTTGCTAATCTTAAATTTGGCTTTTGGGTTTTTGTGTGAAATGTTTATATAAAGCTGTACTTTTTTGAATTTACTCTGTTTTTTTTTATGTGTTTTTGTTTTTTACATTTTGTTATTAAAATGCATATTGGAATTATTTGTAGACACTTGGTGTAATTCAGGGTAAAATTGTGTATTTGTATTGACTTTATAGCCACAGTGCTAGCGATTGTACAATATATAACATTTTTCCAAAGCATTGAATAAGTTTTCTGTTTTTACCATGTGGTTTATTTTTATTAAGAACATGAAATTATGGTGTATGAAGATGTGGCTTACCCCTCCTCCCTCCCCTTACAAGAAAGAGCAAGGAAGCAAACTAGAGAAAGAAAGATCCTGTGGAAAAAGAAGCTAATTCAAGATGGATTTTTAAAAAATAATTAGCACGGAGGACCCTCCTATAGTTTTACCAGTTGATCTTTTTTTTTTTAAAGCAGCTGTATTGGAGATAAAATTCACATACCATACAATTCACCCATTTAAAGTGTACTGTTCACTGTTTTAGTAAATTCACAGGGTTGTCCAACCATCACCACAATCTAATTTGAAAATATTTTTATCCCCCATGAAAGAAACCCATACCTATTGGCAATTATTCCCATTCCCCTCCTCTCAGCTCCTGGCAACCATTTAATCTACTTTCTGTCTCCGTGAATTAACCTGTCCTGGACATTTCATATAAACAGAATCAAATAATATATCTTTTCTGACTGACTTCAAGGTTCACCAATTGTATGTATCAGTACTTCATTCCTTTTTATTGCCCAGTAATATTCCATTGTGTGGATATACTACATTTAATTTATCCATTCATCAGCTAATAGACATTTGGGTTGTTTCCACTTTTGACTATGATGGATAGTACTGCTTTGAATATTCATGTACAAGTTATTTGTGGATATATGTTTTCAGTTCTTGGGTATACACCTAGGAGTGAAAGTGCTGGGCTGTATCATAGCGATGTTTAACGTTTTGAAGAATTGCCAAACTTTTCCAAAATGCTTGCACCATTTTACATTCCCGCCAGCAGGAGAACTCTAATTTCTCTACATTCTCGATAACACTTGTTATTGGCCATATTTTTTGTTACAGCCATTCTACTGGTTGTGAAGTGGTGTCTCATTGTGGTTTTGATTTGCATTTCTCTTGTGATTAATGAGGTTGAACGTCTTTTCGTGTGCTTATTAGGCATTTATATATCTTCCTTGGAAAAATGTCTGTTTGAATCTTTTGCCCATTTTTAAATTAGGTTATTTATCTTTTTATTATTGAGTTTAAGAGTTTTTATATATTCTGGATACAAGTCCTTTCTCCAGAATATGATTCGCAAATATTTTCTCCCATTCTGTAGATTGTTCACTTACTTGATGGTACTGTTTGCAGCACAAAAGTTTTTCTTTATTTTGATGAAGTCCAATTTATCTATTTTTTTTTCTTTTGTTGAAAAAACACTGCTTTTTGAACTGCTTTTTATAATCCTCTTCAGGGCCTCTGAAGGAGGGACTGAGAAACCCAAGGGGCAGGGCTCTGCATACAGCCCTCCCAGGAACCCCTCCCCACATACTATACAAAGCATAGTGGACTTCAATGAAGTTTGAGCTAGAACTTGAGAATTCTGAAGATATTTTCAATATTGCAAACTTTTAATTCATGTTTAGAAACAGCCAATTTTAAAATGAAATGCTAAATGGTCAAATCTTTAAATGTAACACAAGATACAACTTATAAAACTTGTGATTATTTTTCTTTTCAAATATAAATGCTATCAATCGCACTCTGTATGATGAACTTTCTTAGGTTCTATTGGAGATTCAGAAATGAATAAGATATGGCCTGCCTTCTTCAGAGCTCACAATTTTACTGGGAGGGGTGAGCTTCATAGTCGACAGTGCAGGGTAGAATATGATCAGTGCCCTAATAGAAATGCTAACCAAAGTTTGTGGGAAGGAAGAGGAGGGAGAAATTAATTCTGACCGGCCACCCTGGGGAAATCATGGAGAACTGCTCTTAGGACTGTCAGTGTGTCTGGAACATTGTATCTTCCTGGGAGAAAGTTATGGGAAAATGCATGCAGGGGATATGGAAAAAATTGCTGAGTTATATGAACATACTCCAAGCATTTGATCATGGAAGATGATGGAAGAGATTGGTGGAAAAATCATCCATATGGCAGGAATGCTGAATTTAGAACTTGATACTGCCGATGTGGAACAGCTCATAGATCATGAAGGGGAATTGACAGAACTTAAATGGATTTTGAAGAGGAGAGAAAGAATGAGGAAGAGGAAGGAGAGAAGTAAATTCTACAGTGAAAGGAATAGCTGGAGTTTTTTCTAAACTACAGGGGCTTCAGTTGCTTGAAAACATGGACCCAAGTGCTGATCGCTTTGCAAAAGTTGATTGCTAGCCAGATTCAGGAAGCAGTGAGATGTTACCTTGAAATATATGAAGACAAAAAAGGACATACAGACAACTCTCACTAATTTTCTGACTAGAAACACCATCCTCATTTCCAGAGATAATCCAGATGATCCCAGAACCTTCCACAAGTGGAGTTATTAATCGCAACTGACAAAATGCTAGCATCGTCCAACTCTTCATTATCGGAGTAAATTTTTATGATTTGTGTATTTTTTATGTATATATTAAAATATATCTGTAAGTTTATATGTAATGTCTCCAACCCCCAAAGACAAAAATTGGATTTATAAAGAAACTGACCTTTAGAGAAGTGAGGCTGAGCGCAAAGCCGACCCACTGAAAATGGCAGAGTGAAGAAATGCACAAAAGCCTATGATGCTATCATTGTGCCACTGATTACACTGCTCCAAATCTTTTTACGTGCAGTGATTTTAAAAAAAAAATATATGTAAGATCCATTTGAGTCCTGATTTTCCATTACTTGCATCTGAATCATCCTGATTGATAATGATTATTACCCCCATTTAGCAGTTGGAACAATTGAGGCTTCTATCTTGGGAAAGTTTCCCAAGATCACTCAGCTCTTAAGTGGGAACCTTCCCACATCTGTTTGACTCCAGAGCCTCAGCTCTACAGAAGAAATACACACCAGCCCCCAAAAGCAATGTCAACATAGTTCAAAACTTTTGCTTGATTTCCAGAAAGCCCCAAGGTGGATCCAAAACACAATTCGGAGCTATACTTAGTAAAATTCCCTTCCCCACTCATTTTCCTAACACAGCTGTCTCTGCCCACACCCTCACTGAGTCTTGATCCAGAACATCTCCCTCCACAAAGCTTCCCTCCACACCCAGTGTCTCACAACTTTTCCTCTCCCTGTCTTTCCACTCTCTCCTTTTTCCCTCTTGAGGAGGCAGACTGGAGCATGTCTACATACAAATGTTCTGTTACCTAAAGTGCTAGTGTGATGTCTGACATTTATGGTCAGCCATAAGCGATACCTTAAAACTGTAGAAAATTAATAAACCAGGTGAGAAAAACAATAACATAACCCTACCACTCCAGTTACCCTGTTAAGATTCGATGTATACATTTTTAGATTTTTCTTTATGCATAAACAATTTTTTACATTTCTAAGATAAAAAAGGACTGCTTGGTGGCGTAATGGTTAAGAGTTACAGCTGCTAACCAAATGGTCAGCAGTTGGAATCCACCAGGCACTCCTTGGAAACCCTACGGGGCAGTTCTACTCTCTCTCCTATAGGGTCGCTATGAGTTGGAATTGACGGCAACAGGTTTGGTTTTTAAGATTTAGAAAAAGCAGGATCATACTGTTAAATTTTTTTTTTT